AGGCCAAGAAAACTCATACTAATATTTAAAAAATATATTTCTTTGATTGATTTTCACTTTAAATGTATAAGTATTATGCCTACATGTATGTAAGTGCACCCATGCTGTGCAGTGCCCACAGAGGACAGAAGAGGCTGTCAGATCCCCTGGAACTGGAGTTACGGACAGTTGTTAGCTGCTTTGTGGGTGCTGGGATTTGAACTGAGGTCCTCTGGAAGAGCAGCAAGTGTTCATAAACTCTGGGTTTTGTTGTTGCTACTTTATTATTATTATTATTATTATTTATTATTTTACATTTTATTTTGAGACTAAATCTCACTAAGTTGTCCAGTGGCTTTGAATTCACCCTTCAGCTCAGGCAGGACTTGAACTTGTAATCCTCCTGCCTTAGCTTGCTGAGTAGCTGGGATCACAGGCCAGCATCACCAGGCCCAACTTGACATAGAATTCAGCTGCATATCCTCATCCTGTTTTGTTTGCTCTAATCTCTGAAAAAAACGCTCATTTTGAACTCCCATGTGGACTAGCCCATGGCTGGAGAGACAGGAATATCTCCACAAAGCCCTTAGGAATGGAATGAAAGACTATTGGAAATGTTTGGCAGGGACATTCCTATAGAAAGTGGGTCAGACACACAGGGGCATTTCCCAACACCCATTTAGCATGTAACTTGCCATTCACCACCTCAGGGGAGACACTTAAGTCATGAGACAAAACCTGAACCTTGGCCACACGGGGAGAGGAACAAATGCCAAACAACCCTATGAGGAATCCTAATTTGTTGTTAAAAGTTTTCTGCATGTGCCCTGACTCACATCATTACATGCATCACCAGGAAGGTCACAGCTGCTATGAGACTGACTCCCCATGAGCCATGCCATCTCTAAATATTAAGAAAAGTTGAAGAGACCCCCATCAGTGACTGCAGCTTGACTTATACCCAGAGCCAAGAATTGTTCAGAAATTCCATGATCGTGGCTGTCTTAATATTTTTTTGTTTCTTTGTGGTGTTGGGGCTAGAACTCAGAGCTTGACAGACATGTCAGGCAAAGTGCTTTATCACCGAGCTACATCCCCAGCCCCTTCTATTTATAGTGTTAATCTCAAAAGCAATTGGTACATTTGTACAATGAGTTTATAAAGTATAGTCCATATCATGTAATGAAACATTTCTACTTTAGTATATTATATAACAGAAATTATGCACATGTTGTGTTTGGTATACGTGCAACACTAGACCTTTCATTGCTGAGCATGGCTCACTCAGTCCTATGAGATTTAAACAGATTGAAATTTACTTTGGTCTAATGTGAAGTATATTCGGTGTTGGAACTCTTTGAAATAGTGATACATTTCATTTTATTATTTTAATGAACAGCTATATGCTGCTAGGTGTGCATCAGGCACTATTATAAGCAGTTTGCAAATGTGATCTTATCTAGTCTTCCTAATAACATTATGAAGTAGATATTATTTCCATTTTACAGATGGTAAAATCAAGGCATTGGGAAACAAGTAGTTCTTCTTAGGTTTCACAGTTAGTAAATGGTGGGACCAGGATTTGAACCTTGGTCTCCAGCTCAATGCCAAGGTCTTCGGCGTTACTGGATTTACTGTAGGAGAATGTGCTTTTCACACATGCACTTTTATAATGTGACCTTGTCCACCCTCACCCAGAGACTGAATATATTCTATTTCTTGTTTTAATCCTATGATGCCTTTGACCAATAGAATCAAAGAAACTGATGATTCAGTATCAGTTCCAAGCGTGACCCTTAATTTCTTGGAAACTTCATTAGTTTTCTCTTGGAAATCAGTTATGGACAAGAAGTGTCACAACCCAGAAACCAACAAATCAGAAGCCTGAGCCACATGGACAAGCTTGGAAGATGAGATAATAATGATAGTTATTAGCAGTTATTATTAATTATCATTATTTGGTGGTGCTAGAGATCAGACTCAGGAGCCTTCCAGACACTAGGTAGTCATTCTACCACTGGGTGATACCACAGTCCCAAGATACTATTTAGAGAAAGAAAGAATGAAACCAAGAAAAATGAGACTTGGACATTGAGTGAAGAAGCCACGTTGGAGGTGGATCCCCCAGTCTAGTTGCCCCAACTGAAGTCAGAAGCACTAAACACCAATTGCTCAGCTAAATTCTTTCCAACTTTCCAGCCCACAAAAATCACGAGGAAAATAAATAATTGTTTTAAGCCATTAAGTATTATTTACCATCTCATCTAACTACTAGCAACTCTATTTGATTATAATTTTACAAATGAGGAAATGAAGTTATGTAACTTATGTAGCAAACAAAACAGCTCAACAGTAGACTTAGGGGTTTGAATTTTTTAAGTGCTGGGGATTAAACTGAGGGCCTTTTATGTGCCAGGAAAGTGCCTTACCACCGAGCTACTCCCTGCCAGCAGTCTAGGGCTTCAATCTGATGCCAACATTGAGATTACTTTTAAGATTTATTTTTATTTTCATTTATGTGTATGTGTGTGTGTATGTACACGTGAGTGCAGGTGCCTCTGGAGGCCAGAAAAGGATGTCAGATGCCCTGGGGCTGGAGTTACAGGCAGGTGTGAGCCACCTGATGAGAGTGTTGGGACTCGAACTCAGTCCCTTGGAAGAGCAACAAGTGCTCTTAACCACTGAGCCGTGTCTCCAGTCTCCCAAGAACTGAGATTTTTAACTACTATACAACCTTGTCTCTAACTATATTTAGCTGACTACAAGAACAAAAGGAAGCATAATTTAGGAAATGATAACTTATTCTCCTGTTGGGGATTTATGCTGGTGTAGTAAATGTCTGACTTTGCACAGTTTTGATAATTCATGACTTTGCGAGTTCCTACCCCAGTCATATATAAGTGATGGGCTACCTTTTTGTTGTCATCCAGAACAGTGTTCATATTTTCAATCCAAACAGCATCCACTGGCCCATCAAATATAATCCACTTGCGATCATCAGATAAGGAAGACGCTTGCTCCCGGAAAGCACTGGCCAGGACACCGTCTGTCCACTCATGGCTCACTGCGTCAAAGAAGCCATACAGCTGCCCCATTGTGATGGCTTTGGGGTTGATGATCTTGTACTCCACAGCAAACTCTTCCATCTGGTTGGCTGGTTAAGAAAGTCCAACCAATTACAAAGGCTCTGGTGAGACCAGACATTACACAAGAGACCACTAGCCTTGATGACTACGGAATCTAGGGAGATTCTTTATAAAATGTATGCTCCGTCCTTATAAATATTGGGCTATCTGGATGGATTAAGCCTTAACTTGTCGGACTCTAAGAACCATTAAGTTCTCACCATACCTTCTTCTGAGTCTTATTCCAAATTAGGCAAATGTCAGATTCAAGACTAAAGAACTCTGACTTGGCCTAAAAGAATCCAACCATTCCGGAAAAATGACGTCTTTTCATCAGCTCTCCTTATATGTACCTGGTATCACAGCCCCCTGAGAACCCTGGCTTTGGCCTGGGATGAGAAAACTGCTGCCTGGTAAAAAGATTCTGGAAAACAATCATTACTTTTCTCTATCTGAATGGCTATGATAGTTCCACAATCTTTGTCTGAACTGCTCAATAAGTGACATTTACGCTCAAGAAACATACAGTACTGTAGTATAAGGATCCAATTGGAATATTCAGGCTGATGGTGGTGCAGTATGCTTATTTAATGACATCCTTGTCTCATTTTAAAATTATTTTCACTGTAGCAAAATATGCCTGACACATAATGCTCAGTCATAACCCCTAGGGAGTGGACAATGGCAGCAGGTGCAACCACATCACCCTGCAGCTATCACCTTCAGGACTTTACGTCATCACACATGATCTTTCAAATAAGGAACCGGTGTGCACGAGCCCTGCTCCAAATCAAAAACTATTTCTACAAAATACGGAGGCAAAGACCATGGTATAGGCTATTTTCTCTTCAATTTCTTTTCTTTTCTTTTTTTTACTCCTCTTCCTTTTTTTACATGTATGTGTGTCTGTTTGTGTGAATATATGCCACTTGCATGAAGGGCCCAAGGAAACCAGAAGAAGATATCAGTTCCCCTCGAATTGGAGTTGCAGACACTTGTGAGCAGCTTGATGTGGGTGCTGGGAACTGAACTCAGGTACTCTGCAAGAGCAGCAAGCACTCTTAACCACTGAGCCATCTCCCCAGCCCCTTAATTGCATTCAAACACAGAAACTAACTATTACTGTATTTAAATTTGAAATGTCCAAGGTAGTTATTAAGAAGAGTACATTAATCCTCAAAGAAAAATCACAAAAATCCAACAGCAATTTGTCATCAAAGAAACCAATTTTACCAGGGTGTGGCAGTAAGGACCTGTAATCTCAGTAGCTGGGAGACTGAAGTAGGCAAATCATGAGTTTGAGGCCAGCCTGGGCTAGAATAGCGAGATGCTATTTCAGTATGTAGATAAATAGAAAGAAAATCCCAAAACAAATAAGAAGGTAAATAAATAAGGAAAAGAAACATTTATTATTATTTTTTTTTTTTGAGACAGGGTCTCCCTGTAGCTCCAGCTGGCCTGGAACTCACTATGTAGACCAGGTTGGCCTTGAACTCACAGAGATCCACCTGCCTCTGCCTCGAGTTCTGGGATGAAAGGAGGCTGGCCAAGAAAACAATTAAAAAATATTTTGTTTATTATTATGTATATGAGTGTATTGCCTGCATGTATGTAAGTGCACATGTATTGTGCACTACCTTTAGAGGTCAGAAGAGGGCATCAGAATCCCCTGGAACTGGAGTTACGGAGTGTTCTTAGCTACCACGTGGGTGCTGGGAATTGAACTCTGTCCTCTGCAAGAGCAGCCAGTGCTTTTAATTGCTGAGTCATCTCTCCAGCCTCAACCAAGAAAACAATTTTAATTGAGGTGCTTATATAAACAATCCTGCTTTTTAAAACTACAGGTTTTCATGTCACATAGAAACAAAGGGATAAAACCCTCCAACCTGCTCATTTGGCAGTAAGACATATCTTCCATTTGTTGAGTTGGGGCCACATATTTACTACATAATCTAATTCTCAAAACAATGCCATTCATTTTAGATCTGGAGAAACAGGGAAGAAAGGTTAAGTCATTTGCTTGTCTGAGTGTGATTCCAAAATTGGAAGGGCAGGAGGCAGGCAAGAGGGGGGGATGAAAAACAGGAAAGGAAAGGATGGTCGGAGAAGGCAGGAGCATATGGGAAGAAAACAAGGAAGAGGAAGGAGCATGGCAACAGTTTGGGTTTGCTTTTAACTAATTTTGTTTAAGCCAATGACAGGAGTTCCTCTCTGGGAGATCATTGGGGGAAGCCACTTTTGAGCATCTGGCAATGTCACTCCAGTCCTTGTGGAATACACAGAAAGTCCCTATTATAGACCCCTCTCTCTGACCCTTCATTTCCCGCCTGCAGATATTTGTGTCCTGTGTTCTGTTTCTAGCTCTGACATCACCATCCCAGGTTGGAAAATCATTCCGCCCGGCATAGTCTCCAGAAAGCCAGCCAACTGCATAGCCAGTGCCCTCCCTGGAAGCCAGAGGTATTGCTTCTAATGTTCTATAGGAATTTTACCTGCATGTAAATCACCCAGAGCTGCAGCCAGCACTTTATAAGCAGAAGTCTTGCCTCCCATCGGGTCTCCGACAATCATGTAGCCATGTCTTACCAGCATCATCTCATAGATCTAGGAAGAAATGTCATACAGGGAGTTAATAATGGCACACCTCCCTACACAGAGAGTGAGAAGTCAATGGGAAATGAGGGTCAGAAAGGGATTCTTCTCAGACACTTCTAACTAGTGAGCTCAGTCCTTTCTCAGTGGTCTATTGTTTAAATATATTTTGGTTAAATACAGATATGTCTTAGATTGCTTAAAAAAATGGGGGCACTGTTTGTTCTTTACCTGTCTATATGTTCAAGATCACATGATTGCTCAAATAATGCCATTTAATCTACACAGGTATCATTAACTGTCTTTTGTACTTGAGAACTGAGCCTAAGTTAAGGAACTTGCCTGAGCTCTCAGTAATGGAGATAGAACTCAGACATCAGACACAGGGAAGCCTGACCTCAATGCTGTTCATCTTTTCATCAAACTACTGTCATTTCTTTCCTAAAAAGCTTTAAATGAGGGCCAGCGAGAGGGCTTGAAGGTAAAGTGCTTGCCTTGCAAACCTGATGACCTGATTTCCATCCCTGGAACCCACAGTGGAAGGAGAGAACTGACTCCCAAAAGTTGTCTTTTGGCTTCCACACCAGCACTGTGGCACATGCACCGTGGCACATGCATGCCTGCACACACACACACTAAATAAATAATAAATTATCAAGCTTTAAACAATCTGGGTATGGTAGTACACACTTTTAAGCCTAGCACTTGGGAGGCAGAGGCAGGTAGATCTCTGTGAGATAGAGGCCTGGTCTACATAGAGAGTTCCAGGCCAGTTGGGGATATATGAGAACCATATAAATAAATAGATTAAATAAATAAATAAATAATAAAGCTTTAAATGACATGTAGTGTTTGTACATATTTTCAGGTACACTATAATCATTCAATACATTTTCATGATGTATATTGATCAAGTTAGAGTAATTACCTTTTCTATCTCATCAAACATTGATAATTTTTATGAACTCCTAGAGACAAAAAATCAATTGTAGGTCAGTAGAGGCAGGAAGGTGAGTGAGGAGGAGGGATGGAGAGCTTAGATTACTGGTACCAGGAAATGTTAGGTAACAAAAATTGCCTCTAGTGTTCTATAGTGCAGTACAGTAACTATAGTTTGCAATAACTCACTTTTAAAAAATAAATGCGTATATTTATATATACACTCATGTACAATAATTTATTATATATGACATTGACTTTTAAGGAGGAAGAGGAGGGTTGGAGAGATGGGTCAGTGGTTAAGAGCACTGGCTGCTCTTGTAGAGGAGCTGGCACCCACCTGGTAGCTAACAGCCATTCATAACTCCAGCTCCAGGAGATTCAACACCCTCTTCTGACCTCCAAGGGCATTGCATGACATGAGTGCACTTACATACATGCAGACATAACATTCATGCACATAAAATAAAAATAATTTTTTTTTAAAAAAAAGAAGAGGTACTCACCAGTGAAACTTCCTGTACAACAGAGTGTGATACACACAGAAAGTTACAACTGGCCAACTTTTAAAGAATAAGAGACTGTAGAGTACGTATCTCTGGATAGTACTCCTATATTGAACCTCACCCATCCATAGCTCAGGAATCACTGCAGAGGAGAGGGTAGAAAGATTGTGAGACCCAGTGCTGGTTCGTGAACACAGGGAAGCAGAGGCTTTCAGGTCACTGGAAGCTTGCACATGTGAACTTGTGGCAATGGTGCATCAAGCACAGGACCTATGCCAACTGAACTAAACAAGGGCCAAGAGGAGGAGAGAAATGGGTGGTGGGCTGGCCCTAGACTGTGAACTACTGGAGTCTGATTGCTATTGCTATTGAGAGTATGCCTTACTTATGATCTCTGGATGGGCTGACTGGACTCCAGTGGATGGATTTACACTGAGGGGCACCTGGGTTCAGATGCTTGGCTGGATAGGACTTAACATGTATGGCAAAATGCATGAGGTCCAGTGGGGGGATGAGGGGCATGGATGGGGGAGGGGGACAAAATTTGATTGAAACCTGTTGTATGGGATTACAAAAGCTCAATAAAACATTTTTTTAATTCCAAAAAAACCCTAAGAGGAAATGGTGATCATTTTAGCAAGTTGTATTTCTATTGGAAATTTCTGTTTTAGAGATCTAATTACTATTCTGACCTGACTAGTGTCTCAGTTGATGAAATATATTTTCTGAGCCAGACTCCCTACTGTAAGATATCAATAACATTTCATGTAATTTTAGCCGCTACCTTTAAGTATCAACAGCTGTTTTGATAGAAGTCCACTTTTCAAATTTCCCGATCCTTCCCTTCTGGTAGCTCCTAATAGCTGAAATACAAATACTCTGGACATTTGTAGTTATGTGGAATCTTGTGGGTATTTTTCCTCCGCTTTAGAATATGAGCCCCTTAGTGAAAAGAGATACATGAAGCCTTTTATTTCAAAAATCAAGGTCTCATTATTTTTCACCTTGGAGGTGAGCAATGAGGAGAGTCGATGGAGGTAGTGACAACAGGGGTTGGCAGAGAAGAGACAAATGTCAGTCAGCAAATATTTACTAAACATCTGCTCCATGACAGACACTGTTCTAGGTGATGTGGATGGAGCAGGGAGCAAAACAGTAAATTCCCCAACCAACAAGAAGTCTTTATGCTCAAGTAGGTTTGAAAGACATTTCAGAGTGAACAGAGGTGAATGGTGTTAACCACATACCATAAATAAGAAGAGGGAGAAGGGCATCAGTGACTCAGTGGCCTCTCATCTTCCCACTGTCATATCCTGAAAATGACTATGCAGATGCCAACACACAAAATTCTAGGAACCTCATTTTTGAAGATATAATCTCATTTCTGAAAATGATAATTAAGCTATATAGAAGTGCACCTGCAGGTCTTAAATCACTTTGAGATATATTAAAAAGCAAGCTGGATGGATGAGTGGATATATGCTTAGATGGACACATAGGTGGATGGTTAGGAGAATGGATGATGATGGATGATTGGATGATGAAGCAAGTATTAGAAATGTTCATTATAAAATCCAAGTGGACATGTGGATTTTCCAATTTTTGAATGTTTCAAATATGTTTTTGGTCGTTTTGAGACAGGGTCTCCCTGTAGCCCCAGCTGTCCTGGAACTCACTATGTAGAGCAGGCTGGCCTTGAACTCACAGAGATCTGCCTACCTCTGCCTCCCAAGTGCTGGGATTAAAGGCGTGCGCCACCACACCTGCTGTTTTAAATATTTTATAATAAAATATCAGAAATGAAAGTCCATATCCAATTAAAAGGATAGTTCATCTGTAAAGTTCATTGGTAAATTGTGGCTCAATACTAGATTTAATCATGGAAAAAATTAGCTCACTTTGGGAGAAAAATCCTTACTTTCACAGCAAGGCAGTCTGATCTCAGAGTCTGAAGACCTTGGTCCTACCTTGGTCCTTTACTTCAATAAACAGCATGGCTTTGGGAGATAGTAAAGCTGATAATGCTGACGATGACTGAGGAGATGGTACAAATATAGCACTCTATATCTAGTACTTTCCATACATGTTCTCTCAAATTTTATTGGGAAGATTTTACTCCTTCCATTAAATTTTTTTTAAAATTTTGTTTTTCTTTTCTGTGTGTGAGTGTTTTGCTTGCATGTATGTAATTGCACCCATGTTGTGCAATGCCTGTGGAGGTCAGAAGAAGATAGACGATCTCCTGGAACTGGAGTTAGGAATGGTCATTAGCTACCATGTAGGTGCTAGGATTCAAATCTGGATCTTCTGCAAGAGCAGCCAGTGCTCCTTCCAGCCCAACTCCTTCCATTTTTGTAGATGCAGAAACCAAAGCTCAGAGAAGTGAAATAATTTTCCTCAAATCTCACAGGAGAGTCTAACAGGAATATGATTTGAACCTGGGTCTGTATTAATTCCAAATTTGGTTCTTCTCTACACTTCAGTGTTTCTACAAAGGCTCGACTAGATGGTATTTATGATCTCTCATAGCGCTGACCTGTGATTTTGAAAAAAAAAAAGTGTACTTGGGGCTTATTTCATTGAATTTATCATTGTAAGTTGGCTTTAAATAACAGTGATCCAAGGACAGAACACTGAGATTAGCTTCATGGAGGTTCTCAAAGATCAGGGCTGTATAGACATTTGTGATTTCTCTGTTTGATGTCCCTTTGGCCTACTGATAATACAATCCTAATTTCCCCACTAGAACCCAACACCTGCAGTTTAACTGATGTGACTTGGGTGGGGTTGGTTTTATCTCTACGTGGTTATGGTTCAGGTCTTATCTCTGTAATTAGTTCAGATTTGGCCACATGAGTTTATCAGAACCATCTAAAACTAACTTTGAGGTGTGTGTGTGTGGGGGGGTGTATGTATGTGTACATATGCATGAACAAGCATGTGGAAGCCAGAAACTGGCACTGGGTGTCTTCCTCTATTGCTCTCCATCTTACTTTTTGAGACAAGATCTCTTCACTGAACCTGGAGCTCTCTGACCTAGGCTGGCTACTTAAGGAGCTCCAGGGATCTGCCTCTCTCTGTCCCTCTCCCCCGAGTACTAATGTTACAGATGAGGGCTGCCAGGCCTGGCTTTTATGTGGATGCTAGGGACCAAAACTCAGTCCTCATGTTTGCACAGGAGCAGTTCACCCACTGAGCCATCTTCTCAGCCCCAACTTTGAGGCTTTTTGATGGAACCACTTAAAGAAGAATACTTTTTCTTTGGGGTTTGAGCCTGGGACAAAATAAATCTGAGGCTTCTGGGCTGAGGTAGAGGGAGGGTTCTGAGAATGAAGCTTAAAAACAGGGAGCAGGGTAGGGCTCACAGATGAAAGCTACATCCTGATGACATTTGCCTAGAAACCTAGATCCTGCTATGCCCCAGGCCAACACATTCCTTTGCACTTCAAATTAGGTGACAGAGTAAATTCCTTTAAGAGGGTTAGGGCACACAGTCTCCAAAGGCTCTTTTCCCAAGGAAAATGGCTATAGGAAGTGTGTTGGAATTTATTTTACTTTGTTGTTGTTAGGTTTGTTTGTTTGTTTGTTTTTTAGTTTTCTGAGATAGTGTCTTCCCATGTAGTCCGGGCTAGCCTGGGAACTTGCTATGTAGACAAGACTGGCCTCGTGTTAGAATTAAAGGCATGTACCACAAGGCTGCTGTTTTTAAACAGAATCTGACTATTACTGGCTATATCTGACTATTACTCAGGATATCCCTGCCTCAGCTTCCTGAGTGCTGAATTACACATGTACCATCACATACCTGGCTAAAATGTTGGATTTTTAAAAAATATTTTATTTATTAATGTGTATGAGTGTATTGCCTGCATGTGTGTAAGTACACCCATGTCATGCAGTGCCCACGGAGGTCAGAAGAAGGTATCAAATCCCTAGAGTTACAGATGGTTGTTAACTACTGTGTGGGTGCTGGGAATCGAACCTGGGTCCTCTGAAAGAGCAGTCAGTGCTTTTAACTGCTGAGTCATCTCACTAGCCTTAAAATGTTGGATTTTTAGCTTCATCTTGTAGAAACAAAAACCCGAAGGCACAACAGATTAAGTGATCTTTTAGCTCTCTCTACTCAGGCTCCTCTGGTTGGTCCAGTTCCCATCTGCCATAAGTCTTTCTAGTTCCTGACTCCAGCAGACAGTAGAGCAGATACATTCCCATTTAGGTACAAGGAACTAACCTGGATAATTTTTTCAATAAACCAAGGCACTGGCTGGAGTTTCATCTTTCTGATGTTGTCATTTATTGCTTCCAGAAAAACTTCATAGTCTGGCTTTGGAAGAACAACTCCAGGAAACAAATCTGAGATAATTCCCTGTCAAACAAGAATTCAAGAGAGAATGGAAAGGATGAAGTATAAGATATACTAGCTCACCTTTCTCCTAAAATGAGATCTACAGAAGGAAGAAATATCAGAAAATTTGCAAAGCTCATTTTTTTTTCTGGATCCAAGCTTCCTGAAAAGTACAAATGCTAAGTCATAATTTCCTCCCCAGATAATTTTAGAAGTCAGTAAACATTTAGCAAGTTCATAGTGTTGTTTTCTAATCATTGTGTTAAGGATCAACAACATAAATAATTTCTATTTTCATAGCGCTCAAAGTATATAAGGAAGATGGGCATTACATTAGTTACAAAAGGAAACTATCCACACCACAGTGCCAGCCCTCAAGAGGCAGAAACAGGCAGATCTTTGTGAGATCAAGGCCAGAGTGGTCTACATAGTGAGTTCCAGGCCAGTTGAGACTGGGGAGACCCTGTCAAAAACAAAACAAACAAAATAAAAACAACTATCCAAATCCAACAGCAAATATTATCCTTTTAGTTAAAATATTTGTATTAAAATTTGGGGCTAGATAGGTATTTTGTTTATTACCATTTATTAACATGGGGGGGTGGACAAAAGGTATGGTGGGACTAGGGAGATGGTTTAGTCAATAAAGTGCTTGCCATCAGCACCCACATAAAAATCCAGATGGGAAGGCAGAGGCAAATGGATCCCTGGAGCTCGCTGGTCAACTATCTAGCCAAATCACTGAGTTCCAGCTTCAATAAGAGATCCTGCCTCAAAAGAATAAGGCGGAGAGCAATCAAGGAAGATACCTGAGGTTAACCTCTGGTCTCTATACTACACACACACCCACACCCACACCCCCCACACCCCCCACACCCAGTAGTCTGAAGTGAATCCCAGTCACAGGAGTGAAAGGTGGGAAAGACTGGGCACAGAAGTGATGCAGTCATCGAGCTCACGAAGACATCTCCAAGGTTCCTTCCAGAACCTTCATCTTGTTAGCTGTCATGTTCAGGTCTATGTTCCAGCTCAACTTTTTTTTCTGAGGGTCTTCTTGCTCTGTAGCACAAGTTGACCTCAAACTCCCGATCCTCCTGCCAAATACCCTCAGTGCCAGAATTACAGCCCCCACACACTCAGTGGCTGGAATGAAAAAGGGTGTAAGAAGGTAGACGGGAGGAGGTACTTAAGGAAATATATCTCCTGAAAGAAACCTTGGCTAATGACCCAAGCCAGCATACCTGAAACAGGGGGACATCTTGAGCCAAGAACTTGGCCAGGTTGACATCAAGCAGGGCCCGGAGCAGCAAAACGCTTTCATTCTCTTCCGGGTACTTGAGTTTCAGGTTGCCTGCTGCTGTGAGCACAGACTTGACCGCCCTCATGCCATAGTCATAGTGATGCTGGGAGGAGAGCTGCTCCGAGCACAGGCGGTAGGTCACGACAATCTTCTGGGCAAGGCTGTGCAAGGGCAAAGACACGTCAGCAGGCCTTTGTTCCAGCCTCTTCTGAAACTAGGTTTGCCCATGGACTTGGTGAACAAGTCGTATCATTTGCAAGTCTTTTAACGGAATCACCATAACATGATAGCATTAAGGAAACAGCTCTCAAAGAGAAGACGAAGAAAAGTAAGCACATATATAACACAGTATGACTATGAAATTACATTATATGTTTTCATGTGTATCTATGAATATATGTGTACACGTGTACACACACAAAAGTTTGGAATAATGCATCAAACGATTAACTGTATTAATCTCTGGAGAGTGGGACCTAGTTTATTGAGGGGAAATCTACCTTTCCCACTTCTGTGACATTACCATTTTGTTCCATATCTGTTTTGCTTTTGAATTCAAGAAAGCTACTTCAAAAGGTAATCTATACAGCACACAACACATATATACTCATGTACACACCTAGTTCTTAGTTTTTTTGGAAACACAGCTAGAACCACATTTCTTAGACTGCTGTACGTGCTACTGTCATGTGGAAGGTGAGTAAAAGTGACATATGCCAGGCTCAAGGCTGCTTCAAAAAAACCTCCATGAGACTTTCCATTCCATGCTGTAAGTGTCCTGGGTTCCTGACCCATTCCATGGGGACCAGAAACATCTATTTCGGATTTTGAGTGAGCAAAAAGCAAAGTTTTGTCACGCTAATCCACTGGTATTTGGGTATCAGGGTTACCGTAACTAATGCACTTAGGCACATTGCCCTTGTGATGATCCCTTTTATAAAATAGATTTATTTTTAAAACAAAAGACTTCATGTTGTTCACAAAGCACAGGGTTCTGCATTAGGTAGCCAACTCAAAAAAGGCTTGCTAATTGAATAATAAGTAAATTGAATGCTCAATCAATGTGATCTAGGTCTACCATAGAAAAATAAATTAAACCTCATAGCAAGGGGGAAAGTCTCTTGGCTTGGGAAGAATGATATAGTCTGTGAAAAATTCTCTTTGGTTACAAATAAGGATACTTATATAGTTACCTGTAGAGATATTTGTTGTAGCAATGTCAACAACAAAGAAATCAATTGATTCCTTGAAAGACAAAGTGAAATTTGGACTGATTCAATACAAGTCATTTTGCAATGATAATTCATAACACTTAGTGCATGTTCTGTATATGTGTACATGTACATGTAAAGACACTGATTTGTGTGGGCTAGATGGCTCTATGGTTAAGAGCACTTACTGCTCTTCCAGGAGATCCAGGTTCAATTCCCAGCACCCACATGGTGTCTAACAACCATCCTTAACTCAAACTCCAAGGTATCTGATGTCTTCTGGTCTTCATAGGCACCATGTGTACTTATATACAAGTAGGCAGAACACTCATACACATAAAGTAAAAATAAATAAAATATTTTTTAAAAAAGACAGTGGGGCTGGAAAGATGGTTCAGAGGGCTCTTGCAGAGGGCCCCAATTCAGTTCCCAGCACCCATATGGTGACTAACAACTTTCTGAAACTTACGTTAAGGGAATTGGAAGCCCTTTTCAGGCCTCTGCAGGCATTGCACACACAGGTGCACTTACATACATGCAAGCAAAACAGTCCTATACATAAATAAAAATCAATCAATCAAAAAAATATAGTGATCTGTGTGTGTCTTAGAAAATGAAGAAGTATCAGGCATGGTGACACATGCCTTTAATCATAGCACTCAGGAGGAAGAGGCAGGTGGATCTTTGTGAGATGGAGGCCAGCCTGGTCTACATAGCAAGTTCCAGGCCAGATGGGGCTACAGGGAGACCCTGTCTCAAAAAAAACCAAAAAAAAAAAAAGTGCTTGAATGAGAAATAACCCCATTGATTGGAATTAATAAATGTTATAATGCTAGCAGTTTAGTTAAATTAATTAACACTCAATCTTTCTCTTTAGCTTTGTTTCATATGGTCTTCAGTCTTGTCTTAAGTCACTTAGTAATGTAGGGGTAGAAGTGTTTGAGGGGTGGGAAGGATATGAGCGGCTCTTTAATAGTGTCTGGGTTTAAATAAGTAAAAACAAGACATTTTCATGGGTACCTGGGCCCACTCAGGAATGGCATCTCGACCGAAGCCAGGGTTATATATTCTCAGATTAGCCACTAAAAGGAAGACAGTTTCTTGGGTTTTTATTCTTTTTTTCCTCTAATGATCTATGTGCCCTTAACACCATCACACAAGAAAGCTACTCTTTACCACATTTGGAACACACTGGAAAACATAAGCAACATACCTCCTGGAATCCAGAAACCCCATAGAGTAGAGGGAGATTTCTCCAATGAGTGCATAATCTGGCACCATCATGGCCACTGTCCGGAATAAGGCCTGGAAAAGAAATAAGCAGTTAGAACCTGAACACACACAGTGAACCCTTGGGGGAGGCACAGCTATAGAGACAGAGGGATAGCATGAACATCCAGTCCACTCCAGTAGCAATCAAGGGAAGGAGGATCAGAGGATAAGTTAACACAGACAGACAACCCCTGTATCGACTCTGCCCAAGTACATGCATTAGGTCCCTCAGTAAGGAAGGACCTAGGTGCTCGTTTCCCAACTGCGCCTCCTTCTATGTCAAATAAGGATAGCTCATAGCATCAGTCAGCTGTTGGAGCTTCCCAGTCTTCAGTATGGACATCAGATGCCATTTAGAAATGCAAGACCAGTATGTACCACTAGAATTCTGAAATCAGGCAAGACAGGAGTTGGTTCTTATTCTGCTACAGATTAGTTGTGGGCAAGTTATATAATTCTAGACCTCAGTCTTTTAATGTCAATATGGACTAAGAACACTAGCTCTTCATAGAAATATCATAAGAACACATGGTACAGCATAAGCAAAGTGCTCACAAACACATGTAGCCTATAGTACTCAAGGACCATCAGCTATTGCATTATCCTATACCTTAGAGACGAAGGGACTTGCCTGACTCTCACAGTTAGTTAGAAGTAGAGTCAAGACTAGAACCCAGGCTTCCTCGCACCCTTGCTTCCTATTTGTGTAATGTCTGTCTCATGAAAGTTGCTTGTGAAGGTCTAACATGATTGTTGGCTAGGATGAGTGCAAAGGCTGCTTATAACAACTGGATGGTAAAGAAAAGAAAACTGTAGGTCCAAATTCTACTTTGACACTCACTGGCCTATGTTAACATAGGGGGAGGATGGATCTCCTTGCTTCTTTTCTACTCTGAGCATGAAGAAATGGTCTGTCTGAATAAAATTCCAGGACGCTAATCACAATGCATTTCTAGCAGGTAGAGGACCAGGTACTAAAGTCAGTGATGTGGATGTGGCTGCATCTCTCTTATTACCCTCCATCTAAGGGAATGGAACTGGTAAAGAAGCAGGCCTGGAAGTCTGGAAGTCTCTCCCTGGACACTCTTTTCATCCAACTGGGTGGCAGATGTTCTTTCCATAGAAGACCTAACCCTTTGGATTTTTGCCTTCATGAAAGCAGCATGCCAAGGTATCTAGAGCCATCTTCCCTTGAAGAGAGCCTAGTGTTCTATCTCTGTCTCTCTCTGTCTCTCTCTCTGTCTCTCTGTCTCTCTCTCTCTGTCTCTCTCCTCTTTTTTCACTCTCGCCCCCTTTCTGAGGCACCTTCCTTCCTTCACTGTTGCTACAGAACAGTGGTTGTAGCTCAGGCCAGATCAGCACTAGGCACTGGGTACAAATTTATATTCTTGCTTTCACTCTAGTTGGTTGGAACAACATGCTTTAGAATGGAAGTGACCTGGGGGCTTTATCATCTTACTAATAAAGGAGAAGGCCCCTTCTGGTTCAGTTTTGGTTTGCCAGAATTCTCTGCATTAAAATTTGGTGCTCTCTTATAAGTAGGTCAACTTGTTTGACCTTCAGTAATATTTTTCTTTTTGTGATGAACCAGGATGTAAAAATTAGATGGTTTCATGTAACAGTTCTAAATTTCCATCCTGTGACAACCCCTATTTGGCAATAGTAGGTGGAGCTAATAGTTGGCTGTTGCCTTGGCATCCACCAGTCTCTACCATGCCTGTCTGACCTCTGCAGACAATAGAAACAATGACCCTTACTGTAACATTTATTGCTTCTCATTTGCCACTGTTTTTTTTTTTCTTTTATGTATTTCCCATCAGTATGAGACCTTGTTGGGAAGGTGGTTGTGTTCTCGTACCAAGTGTGATCTTATTACTATTGTCACTCCAGTATTCCTTCTCAGAGCTGAGAAATGTCATCTGTTCCTACTGTTGGGCTTATCCATGAGCTCTTCAGAGCATACTTTTAGAAGTTTCCATTCTACAAAGTACATCCATGATATATAAGTGAATGCTGATGGTTACCTTGAGGTTATCTGGCAGCTCAGCCCTGCCAGCATAGCCAGGGTTCATGGTGATGAAGACAGCACAGGTTGGGTTCAGCAAGAGCTCGGTGCCTCCAAAGTTGAACGTCTTCATCTTCCGGATAACGGCTTGCTGAATGCTGAGAATCTGTTGGGCTACCACTGACAATACTTCCACCTGTGGTGAGGATGCCTGGCTGAGGTACGCTCTGCCAGGGTCTCCCCTCATGCAGGAGGAAACAACCCCATCACCTAAGAATCAGACCTTCATGCTCAAAGTTAGGGGCATGATTTGGAACTTTGGCAAAGGAAAATTAAGTGTGTGTGTGTGTGTGTGTGTGTGTGTGTGTGTGTGTGTGTAGGAAGTTTCCATAGTATTTTATCTTTCATAGTGCTTGGCATATAAGAGGCATTCAAAGCATGCTTACATTTCTGACTTCCATTCTCTATTCAAATACAATAAATTGCCCACTGTTTTGTAATGTGCCTTTTCTCCCACTGTTAACTTCTCTCATATTTTATGTGCTTCATTTTACTTTTATAGGATTTTAACAATCTGAGAGATAACTTCTTATTCATCTTTGTATCATGAACTTATGCACAGTTGCTGACATGCAGTAGTTTCATGAGTTGAATGAGTCAATGAATGAATGATTATGATAGGGAAGTTAGACATAGTTGCTGACATGCAGTAGTTTCATGAGTTGAATGAGTCAATGAATGAATGGAATGAATGATTATGATAGGGAAGTTAGACGTGTGTTTAAAATGTACATGCTGTCTCCTTGTGGCTGTTTATGTTTAGTATATTAAGTGCCTACTTCATACAAGGACTGTAGAGAAGACATAAGGCTCTGTTCTTAAGAGTTGAGAGCCCAGAAAACAGCACCTTCATGTCTAATCTCTTTGTTCTAGAAGCAGTTACCTCAATCCTGTTGAATTCATCAAAACAGGCCCATGCTCCAGCTTGGGCCAGTCCCTTGAAGAACTTCCCCATGGCTTTGTAATCCAAACCATCAGAGCAGTTGAAGACCACACACTGGAAAGAGGGAGGATTCAGGATGGATTCCATCACACCTGAATTATCAGCATGGTAAGTCAGGGATGGGGCTCCTCTCTAGTTCTACTAAGTGAGCTAGGGCCCTGGCCCTGCTCTGCCTGTTAAGCTAAACCATCTTGAATTTCAGGCTCATTTCCTAGATAAGGGTCCAGAGAGGGGTAGGAAGAGGGAACGGAGGTAGATGGCATTTCCCTACCTGCTTGGCCAAGGCTTTAGCCAGGTCTTTGGTGGTTTCTGTCTTGCCTGTTCCAGCTGGACCCTCTGGAGCACCTCCAAGGTTCAGTTTCAAGGCTCCCATTAGGGTCCTAGAGGGACAAAAGCAAGAACTCAGTGACAAGAAAGAAACTGGCTTTTATTTGAGTTGTGAAACAGTCAAAAAATTTCCCCCATTATATGATCAATACTTCATCATTGTAAGAATAAATCTTTTATTTAACATTTTAATCTCGGAGTCTAGTACAATGCTCAGTGCATGGTAGCATCCATACATATCTGTCTGAATGAGTGACTGAATGAGTAACAGGATACTTGGTGGATACTCCAACTTCACATTCCAAAGACCAATAATGCTGACAGAATGGAAATAATAATAATATGTCTCTGAGTAGATGAACTCTTGAGTTTAGAAACCGTATTTTGATTCCGTTTACATCTTCAGCAAAAAACATGTGGCCGGTGTAAGATAAATGTTAAAAATGAATAGTGTGTTGGGGCTAAGAAATGGCTCAGTGGTTAAGAGCACTCACTGCTCTTGCAGAGGATCCTGGTTCAATTCCCAGCACCCAAATTGTGGCTACCAACCGTCCTTAATTCCAGTTCCAAGGGAATCCAAAGCCCTCTTCTGACCTCCGTGGCATTGCATGACATGAGTACACTCACATACATGTAGGCAATACACTCATACACATAAAATAAAAATAATAAATAAAATGTTTATAAAAAGTGAATGGTGTGGTAACTGGCCTCACAGTTCTTGAAGTAAGTCTTTATAACTCCAGAGACACAATAACTTGTTATTTTCTGAACTAGTTTCCCACAGCCCTAATTAGATTTAGGGTTTGCTAATGTCATACGTGGTGCATAGGGAAGTTCGAGACATAGCTATTCACAAGGACTGTAGCTAAAAAAGAGTGTGGTATTCAGGAGTTTTTGATAAATGAGTAGATTACAGTAGCTCCTGCCACAGGGGTCAAATAAGTAATTATGCAAGATGGTGGATGTTTGCTCTACTGTCCCAATCATCCTACCGTGCATGTAGCATGATGAGTGTCTTAACACTATGTAGGAAAAGTTATTTTCAAAAGGAAATTGAATAATGAATAGAATGAGTGAATGATGAATTAAAATCACAGAATGCAGAAAACAAGGGATTGATAATAAATGGGTAAACGAATTGAACAATTCTAGAAAGACGTACAAATGGCCAAAAAAAATTAATCACAAATGCTCAGCGTCTTTAGTCATCAAGGAGTACAAATCAAAACTACACTGTAATTTCATCTCACCTCAGTCAAAATGGCTACCATCAAGAAATGAAGCAACAACACACACTGGTAAGGACGTGGGGTGGTGAGGAAGGGACGCTTATACACTGTTGGCAGGAATTCGCAGCCACTGTGGAAATCAGTATGGAGGTTCCTCAAAAAACTAAAAATAGAACTGCTAGCCCGACTTGTGGTACATGCCTTTAATCCAAGCTCTTGGGAAGCAGAGGCAGGTGGACCTCTGTGAGTTTGAGGCCAGCCTGGTCTACATGGAGAGTTCCAGTCCAGCTGGGGTTACAGGGAGACCCTGTCTCAAAAAGACAAAAAAAAAAAAAAAGATTTTTAGAACTGCTATATAATCTAGCTGTATTATTGCTGGGTATGTACTTGAAGGAATCTAGGACCACAAACCTCAGAGATACCTGAAATTCTATGTTTACTGTGACACTACTTACTAAGAGGAAGATATAGAAACAGACTAGGTGTCTCCCAATGGATGAATAAAGAAAAAAATATGGAATTTTATTCAGCCATAAAGAATGAAAGTTTGTAATTTGTAGAAAAATGAATGGAACTGGAGATCATGTTAAGCAAAATGAGTCAGAATCAGAAAGATAAGTATCACATTTTCTCTCATATGTGGAATTTAGATTTGAAAAAAAAAGAGACATTAAAGTAGAAAAGAGACTGTTTAGGAAGAGGAAAGGGACCAGCAGAGGTATGTAGGGGAACTAGACAGGGTGCCATAAATATATACTTGTGTATATACTTGTATGAAAATGTTATACTTTTTATTGTTTTTCTATAATTAATATATGCTAATTAAATAAAACATGATGCAAGGCATGGTGGTACATGCCTTTAATCCTAGTACTTGGGAGATTGAAGCCAGCCTGGTCTACGTAGTGAGTTTCAGGTCAGTTAGGGCTACAGGGAGACCCTGTCTCAAGAAAACAAAAACACCCCAAAAACAAAAACAAAAGGGGAAACAAAAAGAAAACACATGACTGAGGGATTTAAAGGGGGAGAAAACACTTGGAGACATTATTTTTATAGTCTAAGAGTTTTCACTCTAAAGAAAACTGCAAAAGCAAAGAAACATTGGAAAGTTAACAAAATACAGGGATCTAGTGTTATGAATTCTAAGGAAAGTGGCAACGTGCTTTGCAGACTGAAGAAAAACTGTGACTCTCCATCAGACTGGCTGGCAGAGCTTGGAGATGCCTGTCCTGGGTTCTTGTTTTCTTGCAGTGCTGGGAACGGAACCAGGACCTTGCCTGGCTGCTAGTCAAGTGCCCTCCCACTGAGCCACAACCCCACTCTCCTTGTCTGGGTTTTTGACCTGCCTGATCTACCTTGTGGCTGTGGGATCTTGATTCCATTTTGTTCTAGTCGACTCTACTTTTGCTTCACCCTGTGCATCCCCCAGGTGCTCCCTTACTCTCAGTAACCACAACATGGAGGGTGCAGAACCCCCACATCCAGCTGCACTTGCAGTTCTAGGAAGTTTAGTTTCTACAATACTGTGAAATTTATTTTTGAGAAAACTTGTCTCTGTTTAACTGAAACTTTTTGTTATCTGGCCTCCCCCTGCTATGATGTAATTCTGGGTTTGGCTTGAGACTTTGGGGTTGAGAGTTCTTTCTGGAGTTAGCCTGCTTTCAACCTCAGGCTAATGAAGAACTCTTAATTTGGTCATCATTGTGTGGCATTCCTCTGCAACTCATTTTGGGTATAACAATCTCCAGGCACCATGTTGAATCTTGCTACTGCTAAACATTCTATGTCTTAAAAAATTTATTTATCATATGTGAACACGTTATGCCCACATGTATGTAAGTGCATCCATGTCATGCAAAGTCTGCAGAGGCCAGAAGAGAGCATCAGATTACCTAGAACTGAAGGTTTGGATAGTTGTTAGCCATCATGTGGGTGCTGGGATTCAAACCCGGGTCTTCTGCAAGAGCAGCCAGTGCCTTACCACTACGCCATCTCTCAAGCCCTTAAACTCTCTACTTAGGTGCCATGTAACTGCCATGCTCATGCACCAATGTTCTGCTAACTAGTTGCACTAGGATTCCTATGGGGTTCCCATTCTCAGCCATTTCTATAGCAACATGTGGACTACGGGCAAAATTATGAAATGTGAGACTAAAATGCAGAGGGTGCAGAACCCAGGACACCCTCCTTCCCGGTGCCTTTTCTCTCTGGAGTTCTCTGCTCACCTATGAAGCTGGGGGCTCCAGAGTTTACCTGTAGCAGCGGTCAGTGAGGGGTGTGATCACCAGCCGGGGGGAGTTGCCCAGGTACTCATAGCCATACAAAACTTCCGTGGTTATCATCTGCACATGTACATCCTTTTCCTGCCAGTAGTATCGCAGTTGTGAAATCCACTGGAAATCATTTAGATCAGAGATCCCATCCTTGGCTAACTTGGCCACCACGTCCCGGGCTATTGGGACACCATGGAGAGAGACACAAATGCAGAGCCATTAGAATTTCCCATCCGCAAAGATTCCTCAGGCAGGGTGCTAGCCAGGCCACCCCTCAGTCTCCACACTGCTGTGGGTGCTACCACCCCCTGTGCCTATGCCAGCAGCAGCTCTCTCAAACTGGCTTTTGCTTTCTCCCAAGGGGCAAGGAAGAAGGTCTGCTATATTGCTTTCTCTCAGGAGTGATACTGCATGTGCATGTGCTGAAATCAGCTTGCCTCGTGTAATGGTCAACATTGATGTCCAACTTGAGCAGGTCTAGACTTATCAAAGAGACAAGCCTCTGGGCATGCCTGTAAGGGATTATGTAGATTAGGTTAACTGAAGTGGGAAGAATCACATTGTGAGCAGCACCCTTCCCTGGGCTGAGGTACTGGAATGAATAGAAAGAAGGTGGGGGCTGGAGAAATGGTTCAGTGGTGAAGATCACGTCTTATTCTTACAGAAGATGAGTTCAGTTCCCAGTATCCATATGACAGCTAACAACCATCTGTAACCTCAGTTCCAGGGGATCGGATGCCCTCTTTTGGCCTCCATGGGCATTGCACACATAAGGTGCACTTACATATGTGCAGGCGAAACACACATAAATACAAATCCATTTTTTTTAGATAAAAAGGAAGGAGAAAGCTGGCAGAGCCACAGCATTGGTCACTCTGTGCTTTGTGGCTGTGGATGCAATATGACCAGTAGCCTCAAGCAGCTGCTATGGTCCCTTCCTTACTATGATGGACCGAATCCTCACTGTGAGGCAAAAAACACGTCCTCTCTTAAGTACCTTCTGTCAGGTATTTTGTTGTAGCAAGAAAGAAAGTAACTAATACACATGAGTTCAAATTCTAATTCTACCATTACTGGTTTTGTGACTTTGGAAAAGCTAATCAACTTCTCTGTCTCTTAGTTGGGAAATCTATAAAATAGAAATAACATAGTACCCACCTTGAATCACCTGGAATGGTTATTAAGAAGACTAAGAGGGAGACAGAGAACTGTCCAACATATAAAATATTATGTAAGTTTTACTTTGTGTTACTATTCTCAAATTCATGGGAGTGGGTATGGGACCGATCCAGAGGATTTGCAATGCAGTGGCCCTGAATGCTTTCACATCCCCAGTATGACTTTGTGATGCTGTTCCAGGTTTCTAGGAAATCACAGGACAATGAAACCAGCTCGACAGCATAGGAAAGTTTCCCATGAAGCCATGGTTAGAAGCATTTTTCTACTCAGGGGTCTCAGGAACCAGCTGGGAAGTGCCTTTTTGGTTTTCCTTCTTTCTTTCAGAGTGTAGCAATAACTTTTATAATATGGACATACTCTGGACAAATGAATTTTACCTAACCCTGTGTGCTAGATAACTTCAGTTGTCAACTTGACAAATCTGGGAAGAGGGGACCTCAACTGCAAATATCCCCTATTGATTGGCCTGTGGATATGTCTGTGGGGCATTTTCTTGATTGCTGTGTGATATGGGAGGGTCCAAGCACACTGTGGGGATCCCTAGGGTAGGCTGTCCTGAGTTGTGTAAGAAAGCAGGCTGAGCACAGGTCAGAGAGTGAGTAGTGTTTCTCCATGGTCTTCGCTTGAGTTCCTGCCTCCAGGTTCCTGCTTGAGCTCCTACCCTGGCTTCCCTTGATAAAAATAAACCCTTTCCTCCCCAAATTAGATTTCATCAGTGCTCAAGCTTTTATTTTTATTCATTTATTTTTGTTTTATGTGCAATGAGTGTTTTGCCTGCATGCAAGTAAGTGCACCACATGCATGCAATGCCTGGGCAGGCCAGAAGAAGACAAAGAATCCCTTAGAACAGGAGTTACAGATGGTTGTTAGCTGCCCTGAAGGTGCTAGGAACAGGACCCAGGTCCTCTGCAGGAGCATCCAGTGTGCTTAACTGCTGAGCCATCTCCTTTCCAGTCTCTGGTCAGTGTTTTCTCATAGCAATAGAAAGCTAACAAGTACACCTTGAAATCAAAAAGTTAATCTTATCTTAGCTTGTTTATAATGCAGACAAGTTCACTCAGCCATGTGCTCCTCTTGTGACCTGGGCATATGGCTTTATCCCTCATGATCTTTCCTTGCCCTGGACCCAAATTATTGTATGAGTGTGCGTGCGTGCGTGTGTGCGTGCGTGCGTGTGTGTGTTTAAATATCAAGGGATACAAACAGCACTTATTTCATTGAAAGCAATGAGAAAAACTGGTAACATCCGTTTGTGGTTGTGTGAGTGACAGGAGTCAAAATGGCCATAATCCTCAGATAAGAGTCAGGCTTTTACTTCCCCATTCATTCTGCATATACTGTTTCAATAAAAGAAAGAGTGAGCCCTTTGTTCCAGAGCATGGTTTTGAGAGAATTCTAAAGGAACAGGTTCTCAGCAATTCAGGCTTGTTCTTGGCTTAAAATGGATGCTAAGAGTCAGGCTGCTTTTCAGACATAGCTATGATGTGACATCACACAATAAACACTGCATCAGAGGATCATGAAACTAACTTCCTTTTCTCACAGTGATGATCCCTGAACTTGAAGAGTAGACATAGGATTATGGAAACCATTAATTAGCTTTTAGGCACTCATAGGATGTTTAGGATTTCTGAAATGTATGGGTACAAAGGGACACTTGTTCAAGTCCACTGACTTTTGAGGGAGATGTCTTCATGACAGAAAAATCCAAAGCCCTTAAGAGAAGAATCCATGAAAAAGATTATGCTAGCAGCTCTTCCTTCCTTCCTGGGGAATTTAATGCCCCTTCAGTTTCTTGAGAGCACCTGTGGGGTGGTGATGGGGAGTAGGGTCTGTGTGAGGGACTGACTTGGAGTTGCCCTTACCCTGCAGTGTGCATGCCCATGTGCACACACACTTATGTTTGTGAATGCAGCCACTCTGGGGGACTTTGGTACTTAATCATGTCTGTATTCATTGTCCCTCCCAGGTGGCTCTGTGACCAGTTGAGGACTAGATTCTCCCTCCTTGTTCCCTGATTTTATGTTAATCTCTCTGGATGAAATCATACTGAAATGAGCATTAGCCTCAAGGGAAAAGATGCTATGACACACCAGTTACCTGGTATGTGAGCAAGAGAGATACTGTTCCCAGGCAACCAGCCTGGTCCAGTGCTGGTTTCCTTGGTGATGATGGAGTGGGGGTGGTTTGTTTCACATAAAGACCCCAGCTCTTCCTCCTCCTCTTCCTCTTTTCTTTTTGTTTAAAGATGAGCCGGAAGGCATTATCTCTCACCCTGCCTCACCGCTGCCCACTTCCAGTCTCCTGGATTGGAGGCAGACAGAGCAGCCTCTGCCACCTCCAAACAGGTGCCTCTCAGCAAGTCAGTTACCTATCTAGCAGCTGGTTCTTAATGCTGGGAAATGTATGTGAGATAATGTAAACTAAGCACAAGGTTCAGCTCCTGGTACATGTTCAAAATCATTAGCTGTGGTTAACCCAAGGAAATCATTCATAAAGTTGGTGCCTCTAAGTAATGGCTTTCATCTCACTAAGAGCCTAGCTTAGAGAGTTCTTGTGAGTAGGCTGGTGATGGGAGAGGGAAATGTCATGTGGAGATACATGGAGGCTTTGGATTGGCTTCACCTTACCCCTCTTCTTATTCTCAGATGGACCAGGAAGCTCTGCACAATGAAGTTTAGGAGAACTGAGAGACATGCCCAGCTGGCACTCCTGGACAGTTAGCAATACCAGGAGTCTCTGTGCTTACCATGGACATCGATGACAGTCAGGGCCCCAAGAGTGAGCCGAGCTCCACTGCTCAGGTTCCCTCGAACCAGCTCCACAATCTCCGCAATCTGGTTATTGCTCTTTTTAAGAAAATCCTGCCCAGGGTACAGGAAGAGATACTCAGTTAAAGTGGATTCTCCTCTAGCCAACCCCATCTCAGGAACTGACATCATCCTCCATCTGCTGGCCTGTACCAAACTCAAGGATGTCATTCCTCAAAAATGTCCTTTCCTTCACCCCATACATTAACGTCAAGATGAGTCATATTGTGCTCACTGAAAGAGGCCACACAATTCTACTTTATTTTTATAATACAGTAGGAAAGGCAAAACTATGGGGGAGGAAACATGCAACTGCTAGACGTTTGGCATAGAGAACAGCCGACTTCCAAGTAGGTAAAGGCATTTTTGAGTGGTGTGGAACTGTTCTGTATCCTAAATGTGATTTCATTTTCATGAATGAATTTATCAAAACTCAGAATTATGGGCTACAATGGTTAAATTTTACTGAATATGAATTATATAGTAAGCCTGAATTTGAAAAAAACAAAAAGAAACTTTCTCAAATTAAAGGAAACAAAAGAACTTGGACATGGTGATCTGTACCTAAAATCCCAGCACCTGGGGCTGAGGCAGGAGGAGCATGGCCTGGGCTACATAGCAAAATCCTATCTGATTTAAAAGAGGGAAGGGGAGGAGGAAGAGAAGGAGGAAGAAGAGGAGGAGGAGGAGGAGGAAGAGGAAGAGGAAGAGGAGGAAGAAGAGGAAACAAAATGCATTATGTAACCCTGGATTGGATCCGGACTAGTAAAAACTTAGATATTTAATAGGGTAATTGACTAAATTTAAATTAGCCAACTTAATTTGGGTAACCCCTTCAGAGGATGGCTTGATAAGAATAGGAGGTAGGAATTGGCTAGGCAGTTAGGGTAAAAAGGCTCCAAAAGAAAAATAAACAGTTTCTTGGCTAAAACTCACAATGTCCTTGGGCCTCTTAGCAACATACTCCATTCCAAAGGCCAAAAATGTTGAAAATATTTGGGAGCT